ATGGATAAACCTAGTATTAACAAAGGAGATAAAAATAGAAGATGATTTTTAACAATGGAGATAAACCTAGTGTCAAAACAAAAAAATTAATGGAGGTTATAAATGTGAAGTTTTTTTTTGTGAGAAAGAGAAGTTAGTTTTTTAATTGGTAACCAACAAAAGTTACCAACAATTAAAGTTATTTATAAAAATAATGAAGGGTAATTTTGGAACAAAAGTAAGTCACACCAAAAACTTGTATCCCCTTCATATATAGTTATAGATAAAACTTAACTAAAATATTTATTAACTAATTCCAAACAATAAATTTATATCAATACTATCATTCAATTATAAATATATTCTATTGTATTTTTATTCTACCATTGATATTAGATGTATTACTAATTTATTGATGTCTCTTTAGTTGATCGGTTATACCTGAAAAGTCGATTCATTTCAATAACTCATAGAAAACCATCTAAATTGTTCAAACCTCTCAATAGTTTATCAATATAAATAAAAAAATATTATCTCTAATTTTCTTTCACTTCTTATACTTGATTTCTCACATGCGAGGATTGTAGAATATGTCTAAACCTTCTCATCATTTGTCTGTAGTTAATTATTATTTTTTTATAAGAACTTCGTTCTACCTATGAAACATTAGATATAAAATATTTATTTCTTCATTTTCATTAATTAAATATTCTTTATTGTTATTAGTATTAGATTAGTAGTTTTATGACTATTGTGTTTACTAATATTTTTTATTTAATTCACATCATGCAAGAATTTTCCCCTCAATATTGACAATTCAATAATAAATCTACTCACTCTTTGTCTCTATTGAAATCGTTGTTTATGAGAACCAACAAAGTTGATGTTCTCCACCTCCCCAATCTTTAAAAAAAATGATCACATGGAAATTTAATCATGTATACAATATGTCTATTTTTAATATACTTTGAAAACTCTATTGTAAATGGTCTAAATTAGTGTGCAAGACTCTAGTACGAAGCCTCACAATATTTCATATCTATAAAGATATAAAATTTATTAAGATATTTGATGAACAAAAAAATTATTAAAAACATTATTGAAGTTATTCTTTTCATATTTCTTCTATTTATTTTATTTGACTATTTAATTAACCTGTTATAAATTTTAATTTTAATATATTTTATTGTAGTGTTCATTTTATTGCAATTATATATGTCAATACTTTCTACCAAAATAAGAAGAATAATTTCTACAAGTTTGATGTAGAATGTATTGAATATGACCTCAATTCTTTTTCCAATAAATTATATAATATTAACAAGTTTAATAATATTTTACAAGTTCTAAAAAAATGAAAGAGTTAGACCTACAAAAATATTCCCTCTCATTTCACTAATAACTCTAATTTATTTTTTCAATTTTTTACCATACATACTATATGTAAAATCAAATCAATAAAGAATTTGATCAATAAATATTATATCCACACTTATTAATTAAAAATTAAAAATATTTATGATAAAATATATATTTTCATTAAAGAGGAAAATATATATATGTACAATATTGATGATAACATTTTTATTTTAGACTGTACAATTTTAAATTAAAAAAAAAATTATATATATCATGAGTAAAAGACAAAAGAAAAAAGCAGAAGAGCATGCTTTAAGATTTTTATATTTATAAATATTATAATCTTAATAAATTATAATTTCAAAATATTTAAGATAACAAATATTTTAAAAATATATGAGAATAGTTTGCACTTGCTTTTTTTTCAAGTCTACCCGCGCATCGCGCGGGTCAACATCTAGTTACTATTTAAATGTGTGACTTTATTGAATTTCTTTTGTTTAAGTAAGACTTCTTATTACTCTTTATATAATTGGGAACAATTTTGTTTGGGTTGCGCATCTAAACTTCAACTATTCTTGATTTGGTGATTGTTTTTTGTTTTTAAGATGATAATTTATTTGGTCAGTAATAAATGTTCCACACAAAGTTGAAACAATGTCTGAGATAATATTATCTGAAAAGAGTGATGAACAAATAAACAAAATACAAAAGTAAATAATATAGATACACTACTACAAAAATGATTTTTGGCAGCGCATGAAAAGACAGTGCTTTTTGCAAAAGCACTGCTAAAGAGTCAGGAAAAAAAAGAAAAAAAATAGCAGACTTTAGACAGCGCTTTTAGAAAAGCGCTGCTAAATGTAACAATTATGGTTAACAATAGAAAGCGTTTTATAAAAAGCTCTGCTAAAAGTAGGCCCTACGAGAGCGCTTTCAGAAAGCGCTGCTATAGGGGTCAGTCTAAGAAAGCGCTTTCTGAAAAGCGATGCTATATGTGGTACAAAAGAAAGCGCTTTTATAAACGCGCTGTTATAGGTCCTGCCTAAGGCAGACCTTAGAGAGCGCTTTTCAAAAGCGCTGCTAAAGGCCATGCAAAAGCGCTGCTATAGGTTTAAGTAGAATAAATTTAAAAATACCCACCAGAATTTTGCAAAAAACAGAACAGTTGTGTATCCTTCTTTCCCACTCGCGAACACGAACCCTACTCACCGTTGACCACTTCCGTCGCCGTCCTCCGTTTCATTCTATCGTCGTCCTCCGTTTTATTCCGTCGTCGTCCTTCGTTGTATTCCGTCCGTTTTGACCGTCATCTTCGTCCTCCACCTCCACTGTCAGCGTATTTCCACCATTTTAAAGGTATTTAAAGTTTTTTTAAACTGTTTTTGATGGAAACAAATAATGTTGATGTTAATGTTGTTGTTGATGTATTTGTTTCCATCAACATTGTTAGTTTTTTAAAAATGTCAGCGCATTTCCACCATTTTTATGTTGTTTTTGCATGTTAGGGTTGTTGTTGATGTTAAAATGACAATGTTGATGGAAATAAATGATGTTGTTGCATATTAGTGTTGCTATTGATGTTAAGATGACAATGTTGATGGAAACAAATGATGTTAATGTTGATGTTAATGTTGTTGTTGTTAGTGTTGTTGTTGATGTTAAAATGATAATGTTGATGGAAAAAAAATAATGTTAATGTTGTTTTTATTAGTTTAGATGTTAATGTTGTTGTTGTTAGTGTTGTTGTTGATATTAAAATGATAATGTTGATGGAAAAAAATAATGTTAATGATGTTGTTGATATTGTTGATGGAAACAAATGTTGTTGTTAGTGTTGATGTTAATGATATTGATGAAAACAAATGAATTAATTTTATATATATGTTAACACTATGCCAAAAAAGATCTATAGCAGCGCTTTTTTTGGCCTTTAGCAGCGCTTGTGGCGCTGCTATAGGTAAAAGCAACACTTTTTTTGGGGAAAAAGCGCTGCTATAGGTTCCCTTTAGCAGCGCTTTTTCCCCCCTTTTAGCAGCACCTTTTCTCCCCCTTTTAGCAGCGCTTTTAAAAGCGCTCTCTAAAGTCCATTTTTCTAAGACCTTTAGCAGCGCTTCCCCCCCCCCCCCCCCCCCCCCTCCCCCCTTTTAGCAGCGCTTTCAAAAGGGCTCTGATCTTTACCACACCTATACATCGCTTTTTAAAAGCACTCTCTTTTCCCTACCTTTAGCAGCGCTTTTCCTTTAAAAGCGCTGTCTTTTCTCACATCATTGGTTTTTTCCCAAGATCACTTTTTTTAGCAAAAAGCGTTGTCTTTTGTGCATATTTTTATGAAGTGTTTTTTTGTTTTATACTGTTGCACAATTCTTTATAATTTATCACACAAACCTGCTTATAACAATTATATTTAACACAAACCTTTATTCCAACACTACTTAGGCCTTATACATAACCTTCTTACAATCATTGTAATTCAAGACGATCCTTTATTTCAACACATAGGCCTTATATGTATATTATCAGTCAACAGAAACGATTCATACTTATAAAATATATTCCAAAATCAATAATGTCACAATATTCACTATACATATAATCAAAAATTCCATAAGTACGGATCCTCACAATATTTTATGGAAAAACGTTGCTAAAAGTGGACCTTTAGCAGCGCTTTTTTCATAGAAAAAGCGCTGCCTTTACCTTTAGCAGCGCCAGCGCTGCTAAAGGAAAAAAAAAGCGCTGCTAAAGGTCTCTTTTGGCATAGTGATAATTGGTAGCTCAGTTTTGTTCAACTTCACTTACATCTGGAAGGCTGTAACCCAAATGAAAGAAAATTCACTAATTCAAGTAGTCAATAGTATAAGACAATCTCATTTAAACTCTTCCTATTTAGTGTCATTTTTCTAATACTATCTTTGAATTTCAATACAACCTCTCCTGAATATAGATTCCCTCACATTCACTTAAAACTCTCCCAAATATTTGCAAGAAAACAATTTTATATATATATATATATATATATATATATATATATATATATATATATATATATATATATATATATATATATATATATATATATATATATATATATGAAGTGATTCAACAATTATAAACCAAATACTGGATACTTCTAAAATAAAAAAGACTCATAAAAAAGACTTTCAAGATAAAATATTACACAAGAAAACACAAAGACTATACTAAATAGAAAATACAATGCTCTATTAACAATTTTTTAAAACATGCTAGTTTTTAAAAAAGTAGAACCATCTCCTATTTAAAACTAGAGCCTCAAATGCGAGAATATTAAATTTATTAATTATTTAACCAATCAATTATAAATTATTGATAAATTATTATTAATATAAATTATAACTAATTGTTATTAAACAAAATTAATGATGAGATTGGATGTTGGTTTTCAATAATTTATAAATGTCCATGAGTTTAGTCATCTTCAAAATTAAACACATTTGTCCAAACGTTTATAAATCACAAATATTGTACAAAATAATATTCCATCACAACATCTCACCAAATTGATACAACAAGCAATCACTTTGTCACATTATAACTCCAAAAAAAGCCTCACAACCTTAGGATACTTGAAAACAAAACAAACATGCACAAAAACAACATTGGTAATTCAATCTTAACTTTCAATGTTTCCCAATAGCCAAAGCAGACATCACAACCAACAGAACCAAAACAACCACAGCAATAAACGATGACACAACTGCTCCACTTGTCTGTGCACAGAAATCTCCAAATTGATTACAGATAGCAAGCCAGTTTGTATCTTGATTTCCATTGTGTGCCAAGTAAACTATGGAAGCAGCTGCAGAAGCACTAGCAGCAGCTAGAGTAAGAAACACCTGCAGTCATAATCCATAACTAGTTAGATTACGCTAATACTAGCGTGCAGACGAACACTCTCGTGCAGGTTTGAAACATTGAGCATTAGAGAATAGAAGAAAGCTCACAGTGTCTAAGATGATGAGAAAAAGCCTTGGTCCTGTTGCATGAGGGCGAATGATGCCTACTATAGAGAATGGTAAAGACAAGACCAAATAGCCAGCTACTATTGCCATTGTAATAACAAAAAACCTGCATATAAATTAAAATAATGGATCAGTGTCCGTGTTAGTGTTAGAGTCAGGATCGTGGTACTGATGTCTGTGTTAGTGTCAGTTTCGTGGTGTCGGTGTCTGTAAGTGTTTTATAGGTTTTGAGACTAGAGTTTTGAGTGTTACATACTGGAAGGCAGTAAAGCTATCATAGCTAGCTTCAAACTGAAAGAACTGAGTAAAGAAAGGGAGGGTCTGATCACTCATTCCCATCGAGGCGGCGGCGCCAAGAGCGGCGGCAACGGCACCTAACCTTAGAATGAAATCTATTATGGCTATGCCCTTTTTCCATCCTCCTGCCCTTGCAGGGGCTGCAAGTAAAACAGCTTTTCCTTTAGTATCTTTGCTTGACTCTTGGATATCAATATTGGTTGACATTTTTGGATTTGAATATGATAGAGCCTAGCTAATTATATTCCAATGATATTTACTAAACTTTGTATGAATTAATGAGATATGATATGGATTAATATTTGAAGCTTATATATAGAGATTAGAGGAGAGGGTGTACAATGTTTATTTATCTATTATAATAGGTGATGCTAAGTGAAGTTGTTAATATCACATTATTATAGCATGCAAGTAGAGATTATGTCATATTTTTAATCACTTTTTCACTTAATGCGTTAAATAAATAAAGTAGTGTTCCTAATCCATAACATGTTATTGGATGATTTGTCACCACCCTATGTCTAAGATTCATTGCCAACTCAACTCACTGATGTTATAAGTGGGTCCAATCTTCATATACACCCTTAGGACAGTATGTTTGACACATTTTTTTTTATAAAGGGTGAATCTGGATTCTGATTTTGGGATGTACCCTTTTGATAATATTGTTCATATAAGATAAGGTGTGTCTGTTTCAAGTTAAGAAATATCATTTTTTGGAGTCATATTTTCTGATAGAATTATCTTTGTAGATTGTATTTTTAACTAACGTGGGATTAGGGTTTTTCTCAATACATCCCCTTACACTCAATACTATTGGACCGGAACGTAAATATAAACGATGGGTGACTCGAATTATCTATATATGAGATTTGATTTTTCCAATATTCCCATCATTATTATTACTTGAAATAATATTTCTATCAAAGTGTTTGAAAAAACTAAATTTTCTAAAAATGTTTATAATATTTATTAAACTTAAAAAATAAAAACAAATAAAAAAATAAATATTAGTAGTAGTGGAAAGTTGTAGTTAGTTGAACTTTATTTTTATAGAAATGTTGGATTCCTGCCCTTTAAACCTTAGAATAAAAATAGAAGAATCATGTCTAAATAAATTTTTTGAAAATAAAATATGCCTTAGAATAATTTTTTAAAATTGAATCAAACATAGGAATGTTGTATTTCCATGACCATATTCCCAAGAATATTTTTTACAACTTTGAAACAAACACACCCTTACAATGATAATTTTGGATAACATAACTCACAAGTCATTCATAAACAAAATGTTATTTCTAAAAAAAATTGTTTTCCCATGGTTATTCACACATGGGTCATTTGCATAAGTCATTCAGGCTTTAATCATTTTTATAAATCATAAAAAATCATAACATAGTTGGTCAAAATATTTATATTAAATTACAAATTTAAATACAACTAATGGGTATGTTTAACGTCACTGTTCCTCTCGATAATATTGCACCTAAAGTGAACATCTCAAGAGCATTCCTGAAACTCTCCACTGACTATGACATCTCTTTCAAGCGCAACAATATGGTAATATATAGGAAATACAACTATTGACTATATTTAACGTCATTGTTCCTCTCGATAATATTGCATCTAAAGTGAACCTCTCAAGAGGATTCCTGAAACTCTCACTGACTATGACATCTCTTTCAATCGCAACAATATGGTAATATATAGGAAATACATCTACGACATGGTTTACCTTTGTTTGTTCCTCTTCTAATAACTCGTGATGAGATGACTTAGGGGGACCTCTTTCAGGCAGTGGTGTCATATAAGAATGAAAACACTCTATAAAATTATTGGATGTATCTGTTTACCATGCTTCATGGACGAGGAGTTGGCACACTACATACATCTTTTAGCACTAGATGTTCATGGTAGTTGGAAAATATCACATCAACATCTTTGTGTAAGATAGTGGCAGGAGCAACCATTTTGGGGTCCCTGTGTATACCTACAGGTACCCGAACTACAACAATATTTGCTCAGGTTGATGCATGTAGATATGTTGAGACCCATAACTAAGCCATCTAGAGTACCAAGATATCACTTCCATAGGTCGTGTGTTGTGAATCAGATACCTTTAAACAAAGTATAAACTGTTTCTTAATAATCAAGAAACACACAAGGGTTAGGGTTAACAAAGAAGACAAGGTAAAACAACAAGGAACAACAAGGATTGGTTATTAAACTGCTATTCTTTCCTTTCTCTTAAAACAAGATTACAAGTATATAAGAATAACAAAAAAAACCTCTTACCCTTGAAATTAGGATTTTATCTTCCTATTTTTCCTTATTCTAAGATAGAGAAACTAGCATCCTATTTATAATAAAATAGCACATGCTAACAACCCTAGCAATATTTACTCATGCTAACAACCTTAGCAATATTTACTCATGCTAACAACCTTAGCAATATTTACTCATGCATGTTAGAACAAAATTCGACTACAACACGCATTACTTGCGAACAGACTTCGACCACACTAGAGTTCGATCCAATGTCTCACAAATCTCCACCTTGGATCTAACTCTATAACATCAAGAAACTAGCTTTCTTCATGCATATTTATTAACTGCATACAGTGGAAAAACTTGCAACTGGGCAATGTCTTGGTGATCATATCAGCAGCATTATGATATGTCGAAACTTTCAGCACTTGGACTTCTCCACGCTCGATTACCCCTCTGATGAAATGCAGCCTCACATCAATGTGTTTGGTTCGCTCATGATAGGCTGAATTCTTTGACAGGTGTATTGCACTTTGACTATCACATTTAACAGTGATAACTCGACCTTGAAGTTTTAGCTCCTTTGCAAAACCTTCAAGCCACAATGCTTCCTTCACAGTTTCAGTTAGGGCAATATACTCCGCTTCAGTGGTTGATAAGGCAACGACCTTCTGAAGTGTTGCTTTCCAACTGATTGTTGTCCCAAACATAGTGAACACATATCCAGAGATAGGTTTTCTAGAATCCATACAACCTGCATAATCAGAGTCGACATATCCATTGATTGCTGCTTTACTATCTTCACCCAAGGCTCCACCATAAATTAGGACTCTATTCAGAGACCCATTTATGTACCTTAAACTCCACTTCAATGCTTGCCAGTGAGCCTTTCCAGGATTCGCCATGTACCTGCTTACAAGACTTACTGCATATGCTATGTCGGGTCTAGTACAGACCATAGCATACATCAAAGACCAATTTGTCTTCTTTTGATTCCTCATAACTTCCTTATAGTCTCTAGGTTCTTCGTCTAGAACCTCACTTGCAGAGATTAAGGCATAAGCTATAAGATCTGCATACCCAAGTCTCTGAGGTGGCTTGATGACTCTCCTCGACCTGTCTCTTGCTAGCAGGTAGTCATTATCAGTCTCCTCATCTTCGACAACATCTTCTGTGTCTTCTTCGACTTCATCTGGGGTAAGCAATTCAGCATCAACATGCTCCACCTCAACAGGAATCTCTCCCTGTTCCAGCTCTTCGTCAGCATCATCAGTTTTCTTGAAAGCCATCTCTGCTTTATTGAAAACTACATCTCGACTGGTGATACACCTCCTGTGACCTGGCTCTAGGCACCATAGCCTATAAGCTTTGACTCCTTCAGGGTATCCCATGAACATGCATTTCAGAGCTCTAGGTTCGACCTTGTCTTGCCTAATATGAGCATAGGCCACACAGCCAAATACTCTTAGTCTGTCGAGACTAGGTGGATGTCCCGACCAAACTTCTTCAGGTGTCTTCATTCCCAAGGCAGTCGAGGGACATCTATTTATCAGGTAAGCTGCTGTTGAAACAGCTTCCGCCCAAAACACCTTCTTCAATCCAGCACTAACCAACATGCATCTAACCCTTTCAAGGATTGTTCGATTGAATCTCTCAGCTAAGCCATTTTGTTGAGGAGTACCTGCTACAGTCTTATGCCTTGCAATCCCAGACTCAACACAGTAACTGTTGAACGCTTTATTGCAGAATTCAAGGCCATTGTCGGTTTTCAACCTCTTAACCTTTCTGCCAGTTTGAGTTTCGACCAGAATCTTCCAACTTTTGAAATTCTCAAAAGTTTCATCCTTCGTCTTCTGAATGAATACCCATAGTTTTCTGGAATAGTCATCAACGATGGATAGAAAATACCTTGCACCTGAGTGTGAAGGATTCCTTGCAGGCCCCCAAAGATCAGCATGAATGTAATCCAGGGATCCATGTGTTCTTTTCTTGCCTTTGTTAAACTTCGCCCTACAGGATTTACCAAATACACAAGATTCACAAAATTCTAACTTTTCGACTTTGTCACCTCCTAGCAGGTTCTGCTTCCCCAATTCGACCAGGCCTCTTTCGTTGACATGGCCCAATCTCATGTGCCATAATTCTGTCTTCAACATAGATTTCGTGGATGCAACATTTGTCGAACCACTTACAACCTCAGCCTCAAGGGTATACAAGCCTTGTTTCTTCACGCCTCTCAAGACTTCCTTCGACCCCTTCATGACTCTTAGGATACTTTTCTCTCCTTGAAAAACATATCCTTTTCTGTCGAATTCACCAAGAGAAATCAAATTTCTCTTCAAGTCAGGTACGTACCTGACTTCAGTCAATAACCTTATTGACTCATCATGGAGCTTGAATCTCACAGATCCAATACCTGCAATTTTGCAAGATTTGTTGTTTCCTAACAGCACAGATCCACCATCTTGATCACATAGCTCCTCGAACAATTCTCTGTTTGGAGTCATGTGCCAAGTGCAACCTGAATCCATAATCCACTCTTTCCTCGAGTCGCCACTTGAAACCACAAGAATATCAGATGAGTCGAAGTCATCTTGAACAATGGCTGCATTGCCATTACCTCCATGATCTTTCAGGCGTTCAGGGCACAACTTTCTTATGTGACCCTCCTTCTTACAGTGGTAACATCGAATACTAGATGTTTCGCCACTATAAGACTTCTGTTGACTTTTACCTTTTTTCTTGTCGAACTTACCATCCTTTCGCAAGAATTTTCCCTTAACGGCCAAACCTTCGCCCACCGTCGAAGGTTTATGCTCCTTTCGTTCGTTCAAGTCCTTAGAATACAAGGCTGATTGAAATTCTTCAAAGGTCAGGGACTCCCTTCCATAAAAGAGAGTTTCTTTGAAGTGAGCATGTGTTATGGGCAAAGCACACAG